GTATTCTAAAATATACCCAGTAAAGATGAGTATGATAAGGTTTCTCTGGGAGTACAAGATAAAACTGAGTGAGAAACGATCTCAAAGGGAATATGAGTAAAAAAAATATGTTACAGGATATGCGGAGTAAAGATGAGTAGGGAAGATTACTCTAAAAGTACTTGATAAAACTGAGTATGGAAAGATCTCAAAGGAAATATGAGTAAACTTAGTAAAGGATGAATAGAAACTACACTAACAAGATACATGAAGTAAAGATGAGTGAGACCAATAATACGAAATACACTGAGTAGGGATTAATCGAAGAAGATATGAGTAAACCTGGTAGAGGATGAGTAGGAAAAGAGCTCACCGGAAGTACGATATTAAGATCAGTAGAAAAAGTAACTCACCGGAAGTACGAGATAAGGATGAGTAGGAATTATAAAAGGAGGGCGCATTGACAAGGTTGTGACATTTTGTTTAAAATCTTCGTACTCGGGGTTGATGGGTGCACGATGAGTGACAACTAATACTGCTCGAAACGGCAAAACATCACTGTTGGTTATCTCGGACTCTGTAAAACAATTAAAGCAGAGAATATATTAATATTACATAAAAAACATTATATTCCATAATACAGTATGAACAACAGTTCTTTAATTTGTATAAATAATGATACCGATAAAAAAATATAAATATACTGTATGAGAAATCAGTATGAATTGATTGATCTACAATATGTAACAGTTATTAGATATTAAGCATGAATAGGTACAAACGTTTGACAGTTCTTTTGACTGTACAGGATCACATTCCTTATAAATACCTGCTTAAACGGTAACAAAATGTTTTCAATATTTTGTGTGGACAGGAAAAACCTGTTGGTATCCATTCTGATAAGAACAGGAATATATTATTGGACGATGTTTGTCTAAAGAACAAAGAATTTCAGTATGTCTGCTTGAATAGGAACAAATTATAAATAGTATTCGGTCTATATGGAAACAAACTTTTGTCAGTTATTTTAACTTAGGGCTTGTATTATAATTTTTGAAAAATAACAGTAAATCTTTAGGTTGTTTAAGAATCGTTTCTGTTTCCAGTTGTGAAAGTTAAACAGCTTATTCTCACCTTTTTGTATGTACTGTCGCTCTTTAGTAGGATCGTACACCTCATCATCCACACAAATAATTATATACTCCCCGTTTTCTAGTAAACCTTGTTCTTGCATGTATCTTGTAAAGTCCACCAGGGGATTAGTGTCAGCCAAAAGTACATATACTGTAAAAAAGATCACGTGGAAGTTAGAAATAGTTTCCATATTATTTCAATTCTATAGGCCTACGAGTTACGTCAATGTACACAAAGTTATGCTGTTAGAAGGTTATCCGAAACGTAAGTTTGCCCTTATAGCATGATGTCATTGAATTGATTTACTTGTAAACAATTACTAGCTGTCTAGCTGTATAATTTAACGGAAGTGTTTGACGCTTTTTCTTAACTGGATCGAGCACTTGGTTTAAATTACTCTTCTACACTTCTAAGCTACACAACAAGAAGGCAATGATGTTCTGACGCTTCAGGCATTGCTAATCCCGGTGCTCATAAAATGCTGTTCAGGTTGAAACTTTCCATTTCTTTAGTCAATCAAGGTCTATGGTAAAAGCATATCACTGAATAGATCACTGTATGAACACTGTATTCACGAGTCCTGATGATGGTTATTGTGTCACTGAAACTAGTTGGTTGAAACAACTAAAAAATAGACCTAATATTTCATTGTGCCTGGAAACGTCCTTTTCGTTTTTTGTTTTTTTTTTACTTTTAATTATCTCTGTATCTCGCAAAATGTTTTTTGCAAATTGTCTGCAAATGACGTCTGTTGCTGGTCTTTACTGAAGTGAGCTATCTCATTACTGTGAAATAATTTGTTGTTTCTGACGGACTGAGCCTTTAAGTACGTTTGGCCAGGTTGCAGATCACTTGGATTAATCTGTTTCCTTATATTTGTATATGAAACTCATTGTGTGCTAAGAATGAAGAGAATTGATTCGTTAACAAGCAATACATTGGTTATAAGGCAATACTTATAACATTCGATGATGCATTTCCAAAAATAAGACATCAACGTTTTCAGATCAATTACTGCAAGAGCATATTTGTTTTAAAAATATAACTGCTTTATAGGGACTGATAACTAAATAAGTAATATCTGCACAAAACTATCGAATAATGAGCATCTGCACGCCAGACAGTCTTTATAGTCTATTGCTACTATCATAACTAACGGTTTGACTTTTAGAGAAAATCAACAACATAGAGAGAAGACCTACTAGTTCAAATTACTGAAATTAGAATATCTAATTTTCAAATGTGGCCACAAGAACGGTTTGAAATATTTTTGATATAAACAACAGAACAAAATTGACAATTCTTGAATAAAACTATAAAGACCATCAGAACGGTTGAACATAGGAAGTTACGTGCACCCTGAACAATTGTTTTTCCATTTCTACATCTTAATTCTGTGGCGTGTCGAAGCAGATATGCTTCATGGCGCTAATGGCGACATAGCTAATACCTATATATTGGAGAGTGCAATGTCATCACGGATAAACGTATGGTTTGTTGAAATATAAGGATTTTGCAGAGATAAATATTCATACAATGATATTGTTAAACATTATTAAACCGAATAACATCTCAACTATAAAGTAAAACTATGGTTATGAAAGAGAATTTTCCGATCCAGAAGGCCAATATGATGAAGCTTGGCATATCTCCTTTACTTTTAACAACCTGATAAAAATAATCTGGATGTGACGAAAGCTCACACTCTAAACGTTCACAAGATTCCAGTCACAATTCAAGATTAACGCTTATTTTTATAGGAAAGATGGCTGAAGGAACTGGAATCATAGCAGTCGCACTAAATCACATGGGTCTTAAGCTCTACAATGGAGTTCTAATGAAATTTCATGCATCTTATCTGTTTAACTGTGATCTTAAAAGCCAATGTCCACATAAAGTGAACAATCTATATAAAACTCACCCTACTTCTCTTTCCTATGCATAAACTTGTTGCAATGGGAAATGCGCTGTTGGGCAATAGTTCGTAATCACAGCCATCGGAATAGAACGAGCACGAAGGCGATAGTAATTCCATGGGCAGCATAGGATTTGGAACATAACTCTTATAAAGTGCAATTAGTCTCAGAATATATATATATATATATATAAGAATAGGCTTAATGAAAACCGAAAATGACTACCACAAGAGGTTAGAGTTCCTAATTTGTTTATACTTGTTGTAATTTTTGAGATTTAACTTGCGAATCTATTAGACGAACCTGACAACAAGGATATAGACGTACCTAACTACAAGGTTCGTTATACCTTGTGTACAGCAGTATTTTCTGAATAGCTGTTAGAGGAATTGTTTTAGTGACACAATTTAACCCTCAAAAAGACAATTTTTTTTGCAGTCAGTATACTTTTTGTGAAAAGAAATGAGAACTTATTCTTTTGTGTCTTTAAGTTTAAGAAAGAACATTTTCAAACACTTGATAATTAATTATACGATTCTGTTTGTGTAAGTTTTTTTTTCGTGGAGTTTAAGGAAAATATTTTTGTTTGGCGATCCATTTAATGCTCTGGGAAAGAAGATGTGATACTAGAGGTTAATTAATGGTCAAACTGAAAAATTCCTTCTGTGACGTCAGTAGTTAAAAGATAAGTTGTCTCTGTAACCATCAACTCCAAGATAATTCAACAAACGAGTAGTAAGTCTCCTTCTCCTGTGAACATGTTTTTCAAATATTGTTTGTATTCTTATAAAGGCATAATTAAGAAACTACTAATCTAGTGAGTTCAGCTTTACTGATATACAGTAATCGTTTGGGGGCCTGGTGGTTACGATGTTCGACTCGCAATCTGTGATGAAACAATGCATTCTAATCCTTACACGTACGAAACCTAGAAAGGTATATTTAGTTCGCTATACTGATTGTCAAGTTGATTTTCAGTTCCCCTGTAAATACATAGCTTGTTCTGATCGGAAGTTAATATAATTTGAAAATACTATATACCTCTTTTAGTTATACAGTCTGCGAACAAACCTCGTGATGAAAAGAATAGTGTATTCAGTATTGTATAAACTAACAGAAACGCTGCCCTACGGGAGGTATTTCTTCTAGTAATTACTAAACGTAGTAGTCATATCTCATTGACAAAAATTTAAAAAAAGTGTTCGGTTTGTGCCATTTAGGCATACGCAACTAACTGCATCAAAATGATTCAATGTACAGAACTCAAAATTTTCATAAATTTTGCTGATATAAACTATAATGTTTTTATATATTAAAAGTAGTACCATTTATTGAAAAAAATAATCGTTTTTTTAAGAACTCCAGTTTCTCAATACTACTTATAAAAATTACATTAATAAAAATATAATCAAACCCTCACGTACAGTCCTAGTGAAAGTCGTGTTCTTGTTGTGAGGAGAGTATTTTTATTTAAAATATTGTTTTATCATAAATAAATTATTTTTGCATATACCATAGTTATTTTTCTATTTGTCTGAATTTTAAATACCCAAAGTGTGAATATTTTGTTTATAGATTTTTGTTTGTAGTGCCATTTAATAGATGGTAAAGGAGTTTTGATTACATACATAGATACTGACATACATGTTATGTTCATTATCGTAAAATTATTCAAATGTTATACTTTTGGCTCCTCTTTGTCTGACTCTAAGCCGGTGCTTCCGTTGTTGGAAAACATCTGTGGTCTATCATTTAATCCCTCCTTGTTTTTCAAAATGTCCAAGCAACCTTTAAAAGTACCTTCTTCAAGTAATAGATCACGGCGGGCCATTATAAAGTGATTATCAAAGTTAAAAATTAAAAGAACTCAAAAGCTCGAGCGCTTGATGAATAAGATATCTATCTAAAACTACCACTAAAACTCTGAGATTGTTTGTTTATTTGCTTGTCTGTCTGTAATTAAATACAGGAAAAACGGCGCATAATAGAGCCATATTTGTAATGAAATGGAAATAGAAATGAGAATAGAAACATAATAAAACAAGTTTACGTTAAA